AATAATAGTGAATATTAAAAGGTTAATAATAGTGATGTCATTTGTTGAAAGGAATTTTAAAACAGTATCTATAATATTTGGGCATAATTGATAAGACATATTGATAAGTTAATTATCAGAAAGTACAAATCTACAAAGTAATCTTCTCTACACAGGACTTGCCATGGTATTGATACATTGTCTTTGCCACTGCTTTGCATTTGCCACATATCTTCTTCTCCAATTCTTTAAGCTGATCATCAGAAAGTACAAATCAATAGAGCAATCAATCTTCTCCATATGTATATTATATATTACAGGCTTTCTTGCCATGGAATTTACTCAGAATAATTTCTCATAATATTTAAATATGAATGGAATCCTTTAACAATAGTATCACATTCATCATTGTATATTATACTGCTTCTTATCATTCTTTTATATTATAATCTTCCTTGTTAAAATGAGTTTTTGATGCTTCAGTATAAATTGAAGCTCTGAACATAATTTGATCTTGAGAAATATTGAATTTACTGTATTTTGAAGGTTTTTTAACACTAGACCTTGATATTAAGCAATAATTTCTTTTTGAGTAGCCAACAATTCATCTTGTAAACAAATGACTTTCATTTTTAGAGATTTAATTTGACTATTTAATTTTGTATATTCAGTACAATTAAGATTTAATTTTTGCTTAGAAAAAAAATAGTTATTATCAATATTGAACACATTTGTTAATGCTTTAATATAAGAATTTCTTTTGTTCTCTCCTTTCTTTTTCAAATATAGAAAATCCATAAAAGACAAAAAGCAACCTATGTTGTTATTATTGGAATTGGTTGAAAATCAGACAGTTTAATTACTTTTCCTTGGCAACATAATATTAAGAAACCAAAAAAAAAGTTCATGTAATTTAACTTCATTTAGATATTAAATATATATTTTAAAATATTTTTATATATAACTAATACACATCTTCTTGCATCTTGTGTAATACAATTTTGAATTTTTTAACTCATTTTATATAAAAAAATTACTCATGTAAATATATTTAGCTTATGCAATGGTAGAGTGTATTAATATTATTAAATATAATTACTCATATGAAGAAAAAAAATACTACTCATACGAAAAAATTTTACTCAGGTGAAAGTTTATTTATGGTGTTTGATATATATATATAACATAAATAATAAAAGTACCACTCCAAATACTTTTTTTGTTTGTTAAAATTAAAAAGAAAAGTCAGAAAATATTTTGAAATTATTATAAGTATGGGTAATAAAATGATTTCATGTCTCAAAATGTACATCAAACAATTCAAACATGTCATTGTAGATTTAACCTGCACCTGATTAAAATTGTGTGACGATATCATTGTAATCAACATTTGAACATTAATATAATTTATCTCATTTCTTTTTATTTTCTTTGCTTACTACAATGTCTTATTCAATGATATTTTCAGGTGAACTATGATGTCATTTAGCAATACCCATTAATATATGGGAAAATCCAATTATAATTAAATCACAATTTATTTAAATTATTTAAATGATGATGATTTGAAAAAAAAATTATAAAACAAAATTTAAATCAATTTAGTATTAATAATTATTTATTGTCTTATAATAGGAATAAAGCAAGATATCTCAATTACAAATTAACAAATATAATAATATATTTTTTTTGCTTTATTAGTGTTATTTTGATGTAATTGAAATCCTGTTAATAAATTGTAGTACATTGCATAGATTTAAAAAAAATACATGTATATAAACTTATAATCATTTTTATTTATTAGAATACAGATTATTTCCTATTAAATATTTAATGAAATTATAGAGTATTGCTTACTAAATTTTACCAGTGGTTGTTACCACTTAATTCCGGCCATTTAAAATGCCAGTTTATAATTTTTGCTAGAGTTAAAAAATACTGATTGTAAAAATTTTATAAATATGTTAACAAATATTAATTTGATGTTAATTACGACAAACTTTTAAAATTTTTATATATTATGCCTCTTTAAAGTTTATTTGAAATCTGGAAACTCCGGCTTTCTAACGGATATTTTATAAGCGGAATTTGAAATACATTAAAAAAGATTAACGAAGTAAAAAAAATGATGAATTTTTTGCCATATGTGGTATGACGGACGTAATATACTGGACACTTAAGTTGTACCTAAACTAAGAAGGGACTCTCGGGGATTGTTTCTAGGCTTCTAGGGATGCATCAATGTGAACTTTAGCCAATATCCGAGTTTTATGGTGTATTATCGAATGAACATCGATACGTCTCTTTTCATAAATACTAAGATTACCACCGGCAAATATTTATGTTTGCAGTTTAACATTGAAGTACTGCTGTACGCAATATTTATGATAAATTTATCGTTGCAAAAGCTTCAATTATATTTAGAGAGCTTAATATTAATTCTTATTTAATAACAATATATACGAATATAGTTAAATAGGCCATCATAATACTTTGTTATTATTATATTTTGATTCTTTGACGATTCATCATCATCATCGTTACAGAATTCTTTAATGATCCCTATAAGTAATTGAGACATTTCTAAAAAAGAAACAAAAATGATTAATTAAACGAGATTATAAATATCAAAATTAATAATTTAACAAAATAACTTTTTACCAGCTCAGAATTTGTTTACAAGATAAAGAAACTTTCGTATAATCCAAATTCAAAAATGTTAATTTTGAAAGTCCTGTATTAAAAAAATTTTAGATCGTATATATCAGGTCAAATATTGATAATAATAAAGGGTAATAAAGTTTACCTTCAAGTTCTTTTACACCTTTATCTGTAACACAATTATATCCAACTTTAAGATATTTTAAACTCCTAATATGGGAAAATGCAGAATTACCAATTATTCGTAAAGATTCATTTTTAATCCTTGTTTTACTTAAACTTAAGATGTGTAAATTTCTTGTAAATCTAGAAATTATAAAATTCTCATTTTTTTTTTAATAATTTAATCGGAAATTCCGATGAACCAACTTCGTAAATTATCCACTCCGATATCTGATGTTTTCTAAATCTAATAATCAGAAAAAAAAAACTAATTAAATATTTAACAAATAAATATAACCGATATATATAAAGCCAATAGTGTATACTTCCTGAAAAAAAAAATTTATATAATAATATGATGACTTAAATTAAATTAAAAAAATATTTTCATACTTTATAAGGCTATCAATTTATTCAATTAATTTAGTTCCAGATAAAGATAATATGTAAAAAAAAAGAAATTAATTTTTTTTTAAATAAACAAATTTGGGAAAAAAAATTCGTTTAGTAATAAATTAATTATACCTTTTCATAGCTTCAATGTGCAAAATACCGACATCAGTAGCATTGCTTATTAAAGGCAATTCTACCAATAAGTAAAAAAAATAATTCATTTTAAATAAGCCAATAAAAAAAGCACATTCTTCTTGCCAGAAAAGTTATGCAATATATCACTTGAAGTTGATGAAATTGAGAGACTTGTACTTTAAATAATAAATTATGATATCAAAAATAATGAACATTACTAATTAATAATCACAATAACAATAAATATACCTATTGCCATCCATTTCAATCCAATCGACCAATTCCTGTAGTTTCGGGTCAAAGTTCAAATCAACAAGATTTATAATATTTTCATTACATCTTGATCACAAAGTTTCGTTCTGGAAATATTCAAAAACTCTAAACTTTGAAAACTTGAAGGATTAACTGAAACTTGAGTAGAGTGCTGTCAAGATTAAGGGAACGTATGTTCACCTGTTCATCAATGCCAAATCATTAATTATTAATTAATCTATGGTCCTGGGAATATACATTAAGAGTTTAAAATAATATTTACGCTGTCTTCCATTAAAACACCATTACAGTACGATAAGTCCATCAATCCAACGTTTTTGCGAAGGAGAAATTTGCAAATAATTTTCTCAAACGCCAATAGTCACATTTGTCTTTAATAAATTTAAATTGGTTAAATTCTCAAATCCTATAATTTCTTATTTAAAAAAAAATTATTTATATAAATCAAAATTGTATGATTAAAAACCCTTTATTAGTTAATAAAAATTAAATACCTTGTAAAGCTGGGAGAGCACGATCTTTAACCCTACAAGACGAAACTATAAAAAAACCAACAAATTTTTTAATTTAGATATCAAGGAATGAAATGCATTATATAAAATCGTTAAATTGAACCTCGTAATCCATTGATCCTGTATCGGTTAATACTTCACATTCTCTTACAGTAAGCTGACTCTCGTAACTAAAGCACGATTGAGTGTTACCGATAACTTCCAATAAAGAGTCAGTTGCTCGCGGATACAATATTCTGTAAATTACTGTGATTATAAACAATTAAATAATTAATTTCAATAATTCGATACCATTCGCAAATCGTCTAAAAGTAAGGGAATCAAATTTGTTTAAATTTATCAACTCTGCCGATTCTTAGTATATGTTTTATGACATATATGATCACGTGGTGAAGTCTGTTTGTCCGCTCGCGATACATCAATCGAAATTTTATTCTACATTGATAAAAATAAATATTTATAAAATAAATTGTGATACACTGATAAACAAGATATGAATAATAAAAAATATTTTTTCGCTCCAGACTCACAACGGTTTCCGTTTTCTAGTTTATAAAATCATTAGTATGATTTTTCGCATATCTATAAAATTACCTTTAATATAACGTTAGAAACTACAGTAAGACTTCTATATGGTCATACCCATATAGTCATATCTTACGATCTATATAATCACATAGGTGATTATAAAGAAGTTCTACAGTAACTTATTTATTTTATTTGTGTTAAGAGTCAATTAAAGTTTTAAAGAGTAAAGAAAAGGTAGAGTTTACTGAACTTAATATCATTGACAATAATTATGTACTTTAATCAGAATAATAAATAGCTATGTACTATTTTACTTTATTTATTATTTTATAATGAACTTTTTTATAATTGATTACAAACTGGTTCTACCTATAGAAAGAATAATACTCTATAATAAAACATAATATATCATTTATAATTATTCTAATTATTGTAATCTCTTCTTTATTTCTTGCATTTCTGCTAACATATTTTGTGAGGAATTCTTCATTGCTTGTATTTCTTCTAATATATCCTGTAAAGAAATTTCATTTTCAAGTGGAATATTGAGTTTTTCCATTAATTTTTTTCTCGATTCTGAAATTTTATTGGTATTCCATTCACCCTTATCAATCATTTCTTTAACTTTTTTACGAGTCTCATTAATATTAGCACAATAATATCTTTAAATAAATTTGTGTTAATAAATAGGTTAAATTATTTAAAAAGTAAAATAAATAATATATTTTACATACATCATTTCAGGAAACCAGTCATTCCAACGTCTTTGAAATGGTAATAGGTAAAATAACTCAACTTCAGCCAAAAACTAAATAGATAAAATTATGGCAGTTTTAAGAAAAATTTTATATTAAGTTGTTATTAAATTAAATAATACCTCTGCTCTTGTTATCAAAAATGAGTCATCGCGATCTTTTGTTGCCTCACTAAATAGTGCGATAAATACATTCAGAATATAAATAGCCATAAAGAATGCGAACAAAATCATTAATATCATAAGTGTAGGATTTTCTTCATATGTCCAATTAGAAAAGGAACTTGTATCGCCTATATATTTAAACAAGTTTAAAAGGTTAATAAAGTTAATTAAATTGTTAATAATAGATACTTTCATTATAAATTCATACCTGTGAGTAATAAACACGTTGCAAAAAATGAAGTAGCGAAGGTTGTAAACATGTTTGTGTTCTCATCGGGTTTTTGTAAAATAAATAAATTGGAATTAACGCTAGTATTATTTACAAATACTTGATAATTAGGGGACAAATTCCAAGGATTATTAGGGTCATCATTAACTATACGTTCATCTAAGGGATAATTCATTTTTGGTGATAATATAGTATAAAATGCATATGAAAAACTTATTAAAATAACCATTATAAAGTTTGTGAAGAAAAACATGACCCGCTTTGCAATTCTAATAACGATTGCATAATATGTTTCATAATATTTAAATACCCTAAAAAATGACATAATTTTTAAATTTAAGAACAGGCATGAAAAAGTTATATATGGAAGTATCTGGTCATGATCATTTCCTTGAAGCCACAAAATTGAAGTGCAAATGGAAAATACGTATACAAATAAATCTAAATAATGATAAATATTTAGTTAGTACTTTCTCGAGTTTCATTCTCTAAAATGATTATAATTTTATACCATATATTTTCCCAATATCACGAATCCATTTAATAGGATTATAAATAAATTGACGAACTTCAAAACTTAGATAAATAAATCCAAATAAAGTTGAAATTTTCAAAAGTTCTTTTTGAATACCTACATATTCTTGTTGTGAAATTCTGGCAGCTACATTAAAACATACAAGTAAAATTAAATATCCACTCCAAATAAATATATAATAACGTTTTCCATATCTATTCCATTTAAAATTGAGTAATGCTTCTCCACTCCATGTTTTATAAATATCACTATTTATTGTTTCAATAAATGGACTGGACTGAGGCCAAAATAATTCTGAAAACCAATTGTAATCTTTTGGATAGTTTACAAAGTTAATATATGGAGTTGTGAAAATAAATGATGGTATTTTTTCAGTTGCAACATTATTAAAATCAAAATTGATAAAACTTATTATTCTATAAAGAATTACTAAAATTAATCCTGAAATAATTGTTATTAAATGTATTGGAATAAATATTAAAAATAGAATTAGACGTTGTATTAGGTTCACTAGACAAAATGATTTCCAAAAATATATCAACAATTCATAGAATATTTTAACTTGAAAATCTTTTTGAGGAAATTGAAAAGAGGAAAGATGTAAACTGTTTACTATATTATAAGAGGGTGAATCTACGATAATTGCTGTTTCCAGTGAGTATCTTAATATATATTCTGGGTAATATTTATCCAGTAATGGCAAGTTAGAATTAATGATACTTAAAAATATTATGTTATTAAAATCTTCTTCAAAACGATTTATACATTTTTTGTAAATGTCTTCTATTAATTCTAACTTATGTTCGTTAATTGCAAATTTTAATAATACTACACCATATTTTAAGAGTCTTGACTTATTATCTTTTACATCTAAAATCCATTCAACATTATATTTAAAACTGTCATGATTTGGTAAAGGCAAAGTAGGTTTTGAAAATATTTGTAATAGTTTTGTATTATCTTTACTGCTTGAATTGAGAATTATATAATAATAATAGCTTAAAGAAATGGATTTATCATTCTCATTAAAATAGAAAATTAAAGGACCGATACTTGTTAATATGATGATGTCATCATTAATTAACTTAAATCCAAGTAATGATAAGCCCACTGTTAACTCTACAAACTTTACACCTCTCGTGCAAATTGAAACATTATTTTTAAAAACATGTAGTTCAATTTTATAATCCTTACAAGTAATTCTCCATTCAATCGAATTTTGACTCGAATTTAGTTCATATTTACTATTATAATTTGTTATAGCTTCTTGAAATAATTCACGTACAGTATCCATATATGAATCAAGTAAAAGAATATGTAAGTGATCATACATCTTACTCATTTCCTCATTGGTCTTAAAGTCATTATCATATTCCTCATTGGTCATCATTTTTTCCAAATCAATTTTCCAAACATTTCCATCTATAAATCCAAATACGTGTTTACTTGTAGCTTGAATGATACTTGGATAAGATTCTTTTGGCAATAAGTCATTCTGTTTTAAGTGGCATAAACACTTTTTCCAATAATTCTTCATAATGGAATCCGAAAATCCATTGCTTGTTATATTAATGAATAAAGGAAATAATAGAGAACATAAAGTAGGATATTTGTCAAGCATACTTAGTTGAATATCTAAAAAAAAAGGATGTTGTTAGTAAAGTTTAATAATATAATACGGCGATGTTAACCTTTAAAAAAACAAATTACCATTATTTAAATTCAAGGAAGCAACTGGAATTTTTAATTCAACTGAATAAATACTAATTTTATCCTTGATTCTCGTACAAATAAACTTCTTATTGCCAATAATCCGGATATTTTTTCTGATATTTTCGTCGATATTTTCGTCAATCACCAATATTTTTGTACTCTTACAAATATCAGAATACCATATTGTATTAAGATTCCATTTATAAATAGATTTATTTGAAAATAAATAACATACATTCTGGTATGATATGCTAATCAACCTAAAATCTTCAAAATATGTAGATATTGGAAGCGTTTCTATGAAACTCCATTCGTTATTTTTAGTTTGCATGGAATAAAATAAAAATTTTTTATATTCATCATTGTATAATATAAGAACACCTTTTAAGTTAAAGGTACAATAATCGTAACTTTTACGATTACCCCAATTTAATTTGATTTTTTGATCATTATTCATATCGTATATTTCTAATAAAATATGATTAAATAAATCAGTATTAATTGCCGTAGTTATCTTTTAAAATTTTTAAGAATGATAGATAATTATAACTTACTTAAAGTTCTATTTTTACTGATATACACAATTTCTTTATTATTAGAAACACACATCGAATGTAAGTCAAAATTATCTTCTTCACTTATGTCATTTAATTTAACCGTTTTTTCTAATTTAAGTGGGCCCTCATCAATATCTTTAATATTCCAACCGACAATCGAATGGTCTTCATGACTATAGGTAACGAGATAAATTTCATTTGGCGAAACTTCTATCTTTGTAATAGGTTTACCGCTATGTGGTTTACCTATCTTCGTAACAGGATTGTCGCTATGTGGTTTATCGTTATCAATATTATCGATTTCTAAGGCAATTTCATCCATTTGACTCATGGAATAATAAGGAATTTTATTTTGTAAAAAAAAGTAGCTAATCTTAATCGAATGATTAACGTTCTTAAAGCAACCACCTGCTATAGTTTATTTAATATAAGCTAAAGTGATACAAAGATTTATTGTTGGGGAAAGCAAACTGGGAAATTGTGCGTTATTTGATATGATAATCATTCTGGCGTAATAAATTTGGCATATAATGCAATAATTATTATGTCGTACTAAAAAAAAGCGAACTAATTACATTTGAATCTTCCTTTTGTAAATAGTTGGGTCACATTATCGTTTTGAGATACTATTGAACTACAGGAAATTTATTCGGATGAGGGAAGTTAATCGAGTAATTGATCGTCGATCGGCGTGTTTTGCTTATAATTATCAAGTGTCAGTGTTAAAAAAATATAATGAAAATAAAACTATAAAAGTAGTTTAGAGGTTATACCACATAACGCCTAATTCTAATTACTATCTAATCAAGCAAGATATGTATGATTATGATAATATAAGACATACACTAAGTTGTGACTCATTTTGACCAAGCTCGGTTATAATATTTTTGGAAAATTATTACTTTTTTTATACTCTCATTGACTGGCATTTAAAAAAAAAAAAAAATTTAATTACAAATTATTCATGTAGGAGGTTCCTTATTTTAACGGTGATAACGCTATTGACTGAAAATACATAATTAATACGTAATTAAATCCGCAAAGAAATTCCATACACAGTACTGTCTTAAAATCTTCGATTTATTTATTTCAACAAATTATTATTATTTATCAATAATAATGATTCTTATATTATAAAAAATAAAAAATAAAAAAAATATTTTTTTTGTCAAAGTAAATCCGTTGCTCTTTTTTTTTAAAAAAAATTATCTGTTACCAGAATAAAACTCAGAAATTATTTCTGTTCCTTCTTTTTTTACTTTTAATGTATTTTCTTGTATTTTAAAAATGGTAAAAATATAACATGTGAGTTATGATCGATAAGCATATGAACTATGGGATATCGCTCAATAATAATATTTGTTTGTTTAACAAAAAAAAAAAAAATAGTAATAATACAAAAAAATGCAATATGCCAATATGCGATATAAAGTACGCCGACCATTTAACAATGCATAACATTTTGATTGATTTTCAAAAAAGGGAATTCTAATGGTGACTGCACATCGAAGATCATATTTTTGTAGAGTAAATACTTACTACCTTTTATTCGGAGTTAGACATAAAATTTTACCTTAAAATAATAAATATGTAAAAAAACAAACATGGTTAGATATTAAACGTACTAAAATTTTGAGAATTTAATTTTAAAAGATTGTTTACATCTTTTTGATTTAAACTTACAGTATTTGTAAATTTATATAATGACATTGTTTGTTTCAGTCAAAAAAAAAAAAAGTTTTCCGAAGGCTGCGATGACAAATAAGCTAGAATAGTGATCTAGATAAAAATATTACTAGACAGGAGAAATCTAGACCGGTCTACACTATTCGTCACCTATTATTCATCACTATCCTTGTGAAAGAAAATTTAACCAATAGAAATCAATCACGTGAACACATTTATCGCTTTCTTAAATATATACAAATTTGTTCAAAAAATTAAGAACAAAGACAATTCTTCTGAGAGCTGCGCCACACCTTGACTATGCCGGATAATTTTCATAATAACAATGAAATATCACAAAGGGGATAGACACTTCAAAGCATAGAAGACCAAACGCCGAAAAATCGTGAATTTTTTTTTTTTTTTTTTTTTTTTTTTTTTTTTTTTTTTTTTTTTTTTGATAAACGTATTTTATTGACTTTATTAGTAATTATAACGCATCATAATACATAATAAATTTTAAAACAAAAATACATTGAAATTTAACAACATAAAGCTATTAAATCTCTTCATATCAAAGCCAAGGAATTAGTTAACCAAGGCATGATTTTACATAACCAAAGATATTATAATACTACGAGTAAAATTATGTATTGACTAAATTACTAATTATTCTGTTCCCTAATCTATTTCTATCTGATTTTCCTAAACTAAATACGTCGTTTTTCACATTTTCTTCTAAATCTATTTTTGTAAGTTTTTTAATTTTTTTCTTGTTTTTTCGGTTTTCTATATTTTCTAAAATACTTTCCTCTATCATTTCATCTAATTCCTCTTCCCGCTTCTTCCTTTTTAGATCTTAAAAAATTACAATTAAATATATGGGTAGTAAGATGTGATGAAACGGTTGAAATTGAAAAACAAATGGGTATTTTTAAAGATAGTTATCAAAGATTTCTCTCAAGATATTTTTCTCCGCGCTATTTGTACATATATTTATCCAATTATCGTTAATAATACCTCTAGTCACTTCTCGCAACAAGTTTTCTGTCGTCATCAATTTTGATCTTGTTGATGCTATGTCAAATAAGTTTCTTTCAAATTCTTTGACAAGGTTCTCGTCTTTATCCGTTACCATTACACTAGAAATCACCTCCGATACAGATTCCTTAAATAATACGTATTCTGAATTATTAACGTCATTCTTCGTACAAATCCAAATATGATCCCATGTTTCATCTTCGATCATACAACGAGGACATTTTATGCTCTTAATACCCCACACTTTTCTATTCCATAATATTTCATATGTCGGTAAAATCTTAAAAAAATTTTTAACTCTAAAGGTTCTAATCGAAGCATCAACTCTACTTGTTATATTTCTGGGTGTTGATATTTCATTGTTAATAAGCCTAAATGATTTTTTCCAATCAATAGTCACATTTGCTCCGTTACTATTAATAAAGCAATCTTTTACGTAGTCTAATAATATCACATCTATTCGGTTGATATTATTACTTATTTTTTTGAACCAGTGCCTATATGCTCCTTCTATAGGTTTATTATTCCATCTTAAAACATATTCATCAATAAGAATATTATTAATTTTCAACACCACCTCCGGAATACTAGTTTTACCTTTTATCAATTCACGTTTAAGTGCTGGTAATTTAAACTCCTGCGTCGCTACTTGTATATGTTCCATCTCATTAACTACTTTTAATTTTATATTCTTTAATTCTAATATTTCGTTAACGCAAATTAAATATATGTAATTAGGATCATCCAAATCTCTCCTTATACTTCCCACTTTACTATACTTATACAACCACGCTACTATACCTAAATCTGTTTGTAAATCTATTATAATATTACATGGTAAAATTATTATAGCTACAATCAATGCAATAATATAAATTTTGCGCTCATATCTAATATTTTTAACTCTTCCTTCAACACAAAATTTCTCAATATTACTTTTTTTTGGAAAAATTTCTATGGCAAAAAAACCATCTAAACTAACATCTGAACCTTTTTGTATTACACCACCTATTTGCAATATGATTTCTTTATCAATAAAATTTCGTAAATTAACCGTTATAAAGTTATTTAATATATTATATATCCCTTCCTTTTCTATCATATAATCTAGCCACCTTCGTGAGTTGTGTACCATTTCATCAATATCACTATCTATCGCCATTTCATCTATATTTTCACTCTTTAAATTACTTAAATTGTCTTCAATAACGATGTCGTTCCTTTTAATGATATTTTCTAAAGTCATATACGGTTTAATATATCTTTCGCCACCCTCTGCCTCTTTTTCCCATCTACTCTTTATCATTACCGCTACTTCTTTTTCAATATAAATCAAGCATTTAACACTTGCGCTTCTTCTTCTACTAATATTTCTTGCACAGCCTTTACAATCAATCAAAAATGGTGAATTAGTATTCTCATTACTATTCTGCAAACTACTACACTCTACCATATGTCGACCTATTTCATCATAATTTTTGTGTTTTGCCTTTTTACTTCTAATACTATATAATGTTTCACTATTTTTATTCCACGTAATAATTTCTTTGTTACTTTCTTTAAAAAATCGCGAATATTATCATTTAGGGATTAGCATGTATTCAATTTCGAGATATGTTACAGATGATAAGCAGAAGATCGATTATCTGTTATATTGAAATCTGTGTCAAGGTTGACGGCGCATATGCTGTGCCACAGTCCACAGATCTATCAACTTTTTAATTTGTTTATTGTTTACCGTTTGCGATAATTTTAAAATAGTCGTTTTTTTTCTAAGATGTGAAGAGATATTTATCAGTGCAACACGATAATCTAATTGGATGTGTGACGCGATCAGGAGCTGTGGCGCAGTGCATGCGCCGTCAACCTGACAGATTTCAGACATGCATTATAGAGGAGGATATAAATAAAAGCTTAAATAAAGCCAGTAATGATAGCATATTTAATAGCAAAATCATCCCATTAATTTCTTTGAATGTTACATTAAACGAACAAATGATTTGGATTACAAAAGTGGATAAGAAGAATAGAATGAAAAAGACGCAGTAACACGTGTGTTAGGTGAAGTACAGGAGATTAGGAGAATTGAATACAAATTTGATAACAAATATAGAGCTTTCATCAAGGTCACGTTAATTGTAATTAAATAGGACATTTTGCAAAATTATGTCGAAATAGACCATCGGGAGGAAATAATTTTAGAAGTTTCAAAAGATATGATTACTCAGATCAAAAAAGAGGAAATCAACGTTATTATGATAGAGAATACGGAGAAGATAAAGGAAATTCTAGAGAAGATCGAGGAAAACAAGGTCCAAATGTTAAATTTTTTCGAGGCGAAAGAAGTCAGAATCAACGAAATGAACAAAACAACAATGGATTATCAAAGTAGAGACCGATATGAACATGATAGATGTAACAATGGGAGGCGAGGGTTTAATAACTTTAAAGTTATTCAATTGATAAAAAACATAAATAATAGGAAGGAAGAAGAGAAAGGAGACGAGGGGAAAGTAGGAGGAGTCAAGAAAAAGAGGAAACAATTAGATACAAACGATAATAATAATAATCTAGAAAGAAACAATAGTAGTAACAACAATAAAAAATTAAAAAAAAGAAAAAAAAGGAAAAGGTAAAGAATAAAAATATTAACATAAATAAAATAGCGACATATAACGTTCAGGGTTTAGGTAAAGAGATAAAGAAATGATTATTAAAAGAAGGAAAATAGGATTTAATTGGTTAAGCGAATCAAAATTAAAAAAAAGAGCCAGCGAAATTTTATTTTTCAGATTTTAAAGATTATCAAGCGTTCAATTCGTGCAATGATAAAGCTAAAGAAGGAGTTACGATTTTAGTTAATAGGAAACATTTAGCAAATCATGTGACTAATATCGAATATATAGATGTTATAATTAAAATTGATCTTATGTTAAGAAAAATGTTAGATGTATGGAAAGCAGAATAGAATAATTAATTGGTTAGTTAAAAATAAATTTGTTGATCCAGCTTTTATCAAATACGGAGAAATAACAGATGATATGATTACATGGAAATCTGGAGGAAATCAAGGTCGAATAGATTAAATATGGGTTAATAGCGACATAGAAGATATAATTGAAGACTATTTGGATCATAATTTTGGATATAATGTAGAATTTGATTATAAATTAATAAAAGTATATTTACTAGATCAAACAGATCAAGCATTTACTTGGAGCGGTTATCAAAAAACGAAAGGAGGAGAGGTAAATGATAGAAAGAAAGTAGTAGAAAAATGGGAGGAATTTGAAAATATCATAACAGAGGAATGGATTAATAGACTAGAAATGGATTACAGTAACGTGGAATAAGTATGGTCGAATATAAAGGAAATATTTAAAGAAGGAGAGAAAATCTTGCCTAAAAAGGAAATTAAGAAAATGGCCGGATTAGGAGGTTGTCTAAAGCAGGCAAATCACGTGACTTCGAAAAAAATTGTTTCATAAAATAAAACTTTTTACCATATATTCAACCATTCTAAACACACATTCTAAATGCATTTTTGCCTGCTCTGCAAGTTTACTTAGAGCGCAGAGTAGGGTTTTGAATGCTGTTTTTGATTTATTTGACTTTTTCAATTTCGTTATCCATTTTTAGATATGATCGGCAAAGTTTCGTTCATTCATATGTAAAGTCGAAAACAATATTCATAATCCACTTTTTTTCCTTAAGTAAACTTGCAAAGCAGATAAAAATACGCTTATATTATGATTTTAAAGTTTATATTAATCTTTCTTTATAAAAAATTAATCTAATTAAAATTACACCGAATCACGTGATTTGCCCCCGCTTTAGACGACCTCCGGATTAGGAAATAAAAATTCGATAATGAAAAATAAAGAAATAAAAATTTTACAAGCGGTGCATAATAAACTCACAAATATAATAAAAGATTTTTAATGAATGATATAATTTGCAGGCTGGGTGGGTGTTATTGCTTTAATAGTGTTATTTTGAAGTAATTAAAATCCTGTCGATAAATTGTACATTGCATACATTTTTTTAAAAAAAAGACATTTTTATTTATTAGAATATATTTCCTATTAAATACTTTAATCTTACTAAATCTTATTAATTCCGGCCATTTAAAATGTCAGTTTATAATTTTTGCTAGAGTTAAAAAATACTGATTGAAAAAAATTTATAAATATGTTAACAAATATTAATTTGATGTTAACTATGAATAACTTTTAAATTTTTTATCAAAAAAATTGAAGTGAAAAATTAAAAAATCAAAATTTTGCTGAAAAACAGCATTTTTGATGACCTTAGATAAATCTCTTCTTCTTGTAAATTTACATATAAAGTAACTTTTGAATATGTGTAGTTAATTATTTAATTTAATATTAATCTTATAAAATTTTAAAAAAAATTGGAATGGTGAAAATTACCAGTAGTGACAATCATCATTCGACATTTTCAAATATATAATCATCAAATATTTTAAATACTATCTATCATCATTATAACAAATGTTGGTACATAATAACATAATATTCATATTTTAAAATCCATATTTACTACATTTACAAAAGATACACATTTAAGATTTTTAATTACTCCATTATTTTTATATTTATTAATCAATTTTTTATATTTTTTTTCTCCTAAAATACAATCAAGTGTAAGTATGGAAAGTGCAGGTCGGCCTCTCCATTTTTCTAAAAATTCTTCCAAGGTTTCCAAAGAAAATTTAACATGACAAATAAATCTGATTTCTCTTAAGCTAGTTGGTGCTGATCTAATTAATATTTTTAATAACTCTTTTCCATTTTCTAAAAGTTGTTTTTCTTCAGGTCTTGCATCACTTTGTACATATATAACCAATAATAATGACTTCAAATTTTGACAAATTTTTAATAATTTTTCAAATTCAATAAAATGCTGATTTAATGGTGGAAATATAAGAGAAAAATATTCAATTGAAAGACATCTTTCATAAACTTTACGAATAAAAATGAGGGAATTATCATAAAAATTCCTTACATGGCGATCAATCATATAGATAGGCCTTAACCAAATTTTCTTTAGATGCCCTCCGCTATTTTCAATTATAATATAAGCTGCTTTTAATTCGTAATAATCTATTTCAAAGATCTCAAGATCACGATAAACTAACATTTTTAATCGTTCTTCACTGAAATCACTGAAATCTTCACTGAAATAATAAAAACTAACACTCAATATTTTTAGTTTATAAAATTTCGGGAGTATTTCGTGCTTTGTGGGACTCCTGTATTTGAAGTCTAATTTTAAGTGGTTGATAGTATCTACCTTATTTCCTATTGCAAGAACAATCTCCTCGTAAGGATCTCTGCCTGGTCTAGAATTATGTAAATTAAGATCATCTTTCCATTCAAAATACTTTAAATTTTTCTGAACTCTAATTAATTTAGCAATCCCATGATGATTATCTGAGTATACACCAAAATTATCAATGATGAGTCTCTGTATATATTGACATAGCCATGCCAAACCATAAAAATATGAAGAAGCTATTGATGTGTCGCATTTTAATTCACAAAGTGATTCAAAACGAAGCTTAGCCTCTGGAAAATAAAATATTTGATGTTTAATTGTACCTATTGTACTCATGTTCAAATACTTTAATTCTTGGAATTTTTTCATAAAGAGGCCATAAAATTCTTGTTGTAAAATAAAATTATCATAAGCTAAAGATGATCCAATAGAAGCTATAATGTTTATAGTATGAACATCAATGCTTCTACAAAAAGATAAATAATCAAACAAAAGTAGTTTGCATGAAACTGTCGGTAATTGAATTCCTTGTCTCGTTAGAGATTCTTTAATATCATCAGACAGATAAGAAACAATAATTGTAAACAAATAATTTTTATTATAATAATTAATATCATAGCACCAAGGATTCCTCCATAAAATTGGAATTACAGTTTCACACCAAAGTCTATTGACCATTAGACATGAAAAAAGAGATATCGAATCATCTTGTAATTCTTCAAATATTAAGAAAAGAATATCTTTATTGAGTTTTGACATTTTTATCCAAAAATAATTGAAATTTTTTTTAAGAAGGTAACTTTAGATAACTTTAGATATTTTTTACAAAATGGTTTAAACATTTTTTTTTTTTTTTAAAAAAAAAAGGAAAATAAATACCGGAATCAAATTCCGATGGACAAATTAAATTTGTTCTGTGCGACCATAATGATGATCAAATGATGTTTCACATGACAGACCAAACATTACGCCTCTTACAATATGATTTATTAATATAAATTTTTTAATTTGTTCCTTTTTTTTATTAATAATAAAGTTATATTACAATAAAAGCGTTCAAGAAAGAAAAAAAAATATTTTTATCGATATAAACCAATATTTATAATAAAAACTATTTCAAACACAGTCAATATCTATAGATTTCTCGGTGACTGCAAGTTCATAATTAATATAATCCGTTTATAAAATTATAATCATTAATACATAAACCACGATAATTTTTAACTTGAATACCATAAAATTTAAATTCTTCTACTTCATCTTTTGATTCAAACAGATTATTCATGTCATTATTATAGTAAAATTCATCTATAGCTAAATATTTGACCCTTTTTTCTTTCATAATGTATTTCTTAATACAAGGTAAAATATCTTCACTTCGATTCATCAGATTTCTGATTAATAATTTCTTAATAAAAATATTTTGTGAATTTTTTAAAAATATTTCCAAATCATTTATATTTAATTTAAGTTCTAATCTTAAATATTTTAATTTATTAGGAAGTATTTGACCTAAATTTTGTAATATAATTGAATCAATTTTATGATTAAGTCAATAGAAAATAATAGAAAGATAATTAAGATTTTGTTGAACATTTTTAATTAAATTAAGTACTGAATAAATATTTTGATTATTAAATCTAGATATTCCAAATATTTCTAAAAATTTGATCTTAACACAATAAATTTTAACTAATTTAAATAATTTTCTCTTATGTTTATTATTTCTTGATAATCCAAATCCAATATTTTCTAAGTAATTACCAGTCTTTTGTAATAATAATTTAAATGTTTCAATTTGTAATGTAGAATAATTATCTATAAATAAAGATTTTAATTTAAATGGTTTAGTTAAATTAATAATTTGTTGAATAAAAGTAGAATTTAAAGGATAACAATTAATAATATGAATAGATTCTAAAACATTTTGTTGTTCAAATGCTTCATTAAAATTAATTTTTAAACTCTCTAAATTAATTTCATGAAATATAATTGTTTTTAAAGTATTTAAACAATTAAAAATATTTAAATTTTTTAAATATTTTTTATAATTAAAACAAATTTTTTTGAGATTTTGTTGTGAATTAATCAGTTTGGATATACTTTCTTCAATAAATGATGATGATAAATTATTATCACAATAATCACCTAAATAAATATTTAAGTTTTTAATATTGCAAACGAAATTTGGTTTTTGTAGGATTAATTGAAGGGTAGAATTAAAACAATCACTACCTATATACTTAAAAGTACAGAAAATTTCGAAATCAAAAGTATATAAATTAACTTCATTTTCAATAAATATTTTGATTAATGATAAGAAAATAAATCCAAAATTATTGTCAAAGTTTGAAACCATTTTATTTGTAGACCATGTTTCAATAGAATTTCTATTACATACTTCATATGTATTTAAATGTTGAATAAAATTTGGATAATTAAATAATGTATTCATTGAAGGAAATAATAATTCTGTAATAATTCCATATTCATTTAATTTTGTTTTGTCATCTTCATTTAATTTAGAAAAATAAATTTCAATGAAGTGATAATTTTTGGGATATTTCTTTGAAAATGGATTTTCCCATAATAATGGAATTGTTATACGACACCATAATCTATTAACTAAAATACATGAATGTAATGTTGAAAAGTCATTTCGAAAATATTGTAAAATTTCATTTGTTAATTCAGGAAGATCTCCTGAAAATATTTTTGAACATGTCATATTGAAAAGAGGAAAAAGGGGGAGAGTGTTACGTTTTAAAATTTTCAAACAAAATTATATAATTTTTCTTCGGAGTTAGTTATTCCGATATAGATCAAGCTGTTGTAAATCAAACAACTTTGTCCACCACAAAATTTTTTCACTACCACGTGATCTATATTTTTGGCCTATCAGTATCAGAATTATATGATCTACTCAGCTTTTTATTCTGCTTCGTTTTTTTCTTTAAACTTCAGTTACTCCTCAAAAGTTAACTATCAGTTGAGAAAAAAATATAATGTTCTTATCATAATAATAATTTTATTTTTTAAAACAAAGAAAATATTGTATAATAGTTTATCTGTATTTCCATATTTGTTTTGGCGGAAAATTCTGTAAGTAATTATTTGTACAGTATATCTAATATGCTAATACGTTACATATTTTATACTCAGGAACGTTATTTTTTTATATTTTTAAACTGATAGGTTATAATGAATTCAAACACTCTTGTAGCTAACAACAACAGTATTGCCCCTAGTATATATTAAATTATTTAAATTACAAGCTAAGAAACTTAGTGTTTAAATAATTACAAATAACTGAAAATATTCTATATTGCTTGTTTCAATATATTTTTTTTGTCGCATTATACATGTTAAAAATAATTAATCCTATGCTGGGCGTAGATTATATTTGCGAATTTGTACTGTACACATAAAACACGCGCACTTCTTAAAAATTCAAACTTTTACATTCATTTATTATGTTTTTGATTGTAAAGCAATACATGAGAAAGAGCCGACCGGCCAAGTAAAAATGAATAAAACTAATGAACGGTAACCGTTGGTAAGTCTGGAGCGAAAAGAAAATTATTAGCCTAAACACGGATAAATTTAATAACACGGGTAAATTTAAACACGGATAAATTTAATTAAACATGGATAAATTTAATTGAATACTATAACAATCATCACAGGAAGGCTATTTACAAACCCAACACAGATTTTCTGACTTGTTTCTAGTAAAAAGACTTCAAGTTCAGAGTATACAGTGTGTTAAAGAGTCTGGAATAAAATCCATATAATTAAAAAAAAAATCGGTTAAAACTTAAAATAGTTGAATTGTGTAACATGAAACGCCTGATTTATTTATTACATCATGCCTAGTGGATTATTAAGTGTAGGGCGCAGTATTATATTTAGATACTAGAAATTTTTGGTTTGATTATAAAATGAACGTCCAGGCATATGACATTAAACTATACCATATTGTCCGATTTATTGGATTACAGTTCTTGTAATCATAATTTTATTTTATTTTTTTATTTATTTGTTTATTTCAGAAAGAGTAACAGGGTATGTAATAATGTAAATCATGTAAACCACAGGTACAAAGGAATTGTAGATCAGATAATACGGAATTGCGTAGAATTGCGTAATGAACTAATGATGATCATTGGGCAATGACATGACATCAGAATTTAGGAATTTAAGAATTTAAGAATTAGGATTTACAATGAGATTTTTATATTGGATTTAGAAGTAGAAAAGTGAAGATAATGAAAAAAGAAATTAATTATAATTGAACGGAATAAGATTAATCTAATTTATCCAAAAGGAGTAATATTGGATATAGAACTACACGGGAACTCAGAATTTATAAAAAGAGTGGATTTTGGAATTAAGATAAGGCGTAGTATTTGAAAAGTATATGGGGAAATAATCGATAAATATTAGTAAGTGTGAAAACTATGAATATTTTAATAATGATTTTGTTGTTTGGGTATAATCTTGTTAATGAATTTCCGTGAGATGAAATACAAAGTTTAAGGATATTTAGGATTTTTGGAATTATATTGATGAATTATATGAAAGATATAATATGTGAAATATGGATACATAGGGGAAATTATCGAAGTTCGAAACTGTAAATTATGAATAATGGAAATTTATTAATGATAAAGGGTTTTGGGATTAAGAAATATTAATTTTTATTAGATTATTTTAGTTTATTCTATATTTATTTAGAACCAAGCGTGAACTCGGGATAATTTTAGATATTTTGTATAATTTGTTATTATGAATAAAGACAACAATGTTCAATGACGTGCGTAAACATGGGCGCGTCATTACACCAATAAAAGACTCAATTTTTTAACAAATTTTTATTTGATTTTTTTCTATTGATTTTTTCTATCGAAAAAAAATAATAATTTTGATATTTTTTATAATCATATATTTTTTCAGAAAACTATGCACTCTTTAGAAATTAGAATTATGAGGCTTGATGGCTTGTAGATAGATGTTTTACAATTTATTCGTAATAAACAAATATTTTTTTTTTTGTTATTCTAAAATATTGATTTTTTTGTGTTTACCCAATAAAATTGCTCTAAAATTATGCCACATGATGAACTAAAGTTAATTATGAAATTTTAACATTAAAAAATATTAATAGGAAAATGCATTGATTTTATCCAAATACCGTAGTATTTATTTGTTTATTTGTTATGTAAATTGATACAAAATTTTAATTTCCCGATGTATGATCAGATGATACAAATTTTTGTTCTTAAAAACAAAACCCATGTGGTTGGGTCAAATTAACGTAAATTTTTATGAGAACTGATGTTTTATTTTACATTTTGGGAAAAAAATTGAGAAAAATGAATTTAAAACTTTGAACTTTATTTTTCAATTATATAGGAACGAAAGGTTGAGTTATTTTAACAAGTTAGTCAAATTAATATTTTTTTGTTATACTATTTTGGATTATGTTCATTGTAATAAAAAAATTTTTTTAATAACAGGTAATAAATTACATTATTTTTTTATATAAACGTGGTATTATGCACTAGGGGTGCAGACTTTTTCCTTTTTTATCTACGTTATTCATTAACTGTTAAGTCAATGAAAGGTTGACATAGCTCGATATTATATAAATTATTATAAAATTTCTCTGTGAGCATCTGCAGTGACGTTATTGACGTAACTTTGTTACGGAAGTTACGCCGGTAAAGCTTGCACCTCTAGTATGCACCCTAAAGTTTTTATTTGAAAATGCATGTATAAACGTATAGTAAATACTCTGATCTACAAGTATAATAAATATATAGAAATTTCTTGCAGCACTCGCTCGTTTTTTTCAATTATTTTATTGAATAAATAAAAAATTCATTTTTTTTAAAAAAATGAAAAATCTTTTTTTAAAAAAAAAGCAGATTTAAGATCAAGCAATTGCCTTTTTAAATTTAAACTGTGGCTGCTGTGGCATTCATGATACACGTATTGAAATAATAATGATTTGATGGTGATTACTTAACCACGATTTATATTTTTTGAAGCTCCCCGTTATGTTAAATGTTTACTTGTTTATTAGAAAAATGTTCCGGAGTTTAAATTGATTCTAAATTCCCTGTGAACGGAGTTGTGTCACAAAGGAATAGTTAACCAAATAAAACTCCGATTGACAAAGAATTCAACTACGAAATGAATTTCTAAATAAGTAAAAAATCTTAGAAATTCATTACACAATGGCGGATTGTCAACATGCATAATTGTTTTTTTATATAAACGTTCGCTATTTTACCGTAATGTTCTACAACTATTTTCTAAACAGAATTTTCTTATTTAAGAATTGTAAATATAAATACTCTTGTATATTCAATTTTTATGAGTTACTTTCTTTAAATACAACATTATGAACACAAAAAATAATTCATATAGTTTTTGTAGACCAAGGTTAGATTCTAGTCCTGTACCTGTTTTGTTTATTCCTTTTAAAAATAATGAAAAAAAATGTAGTTATTGTGGAATTGAATACTCCAAGACACTTAAATTTGAACAAAAATATTGTAAAAATTGTTTATTTCGGTATATCAAATACATGGAAAACGATGTATGTTTGAATAAGTATGTAAGTACAAGTAATACTCATCAGTGTATTAAACATAAAGCAATTAAGAATAATTTTTGTGCAACAAACATTCAAGAACGGTGTGAACATTTCTCTGAGATTTTATACTTTACACATTTAATCCCAAATACTTCATCATTAAATAATTGCACTGAATTAGATTTTGGAAAACATTATTTTGGTACAAGATTTGAGTATAAGGCATTTAAATTAATTGAGTATGGTCAATAACATCGTTATGAAATTTCTTCTGAATGGGTAGAATCAATTTTAACTAAAAAGTCCATTCAAATTTTATATTTATCATGGTGGGATAACTTTGATAAGTGTGTAGTCTGCTTACAAGAACTAAAATATATTCACCAAGAGTCAGTACCTTATTACCAAAAATGGTGTCAAAAATGGTGTTCAAATTGCTTTATAATTTATACTGGATGTAGACATTGTTTAACCACAAATATTATTTTTGGGATTACAAGTCAATCTCAATGTAAAAATTGTGAAAGAATATCATTTATTAATGTCGATATTACAAATATTAACAGTGAAAACTGTATCGTAGATGATTTTATTCTTATATTTACAAATAATAATACAGATTCAGATTCATTAAAGTTTATTAGAAATTTATATAGTAATATGGTAAAATGTTTAATAGAATGGATTCCATATTCTCAATTTAAAGATTTAAGAAAAATAGGAGAAGGAGGATTTAGTATTATTTATAAAGCAACTTGGTCTGATGGTATAAGGAATACTGACGTTGCTTTAAAAAAATTATTTAGTTCACAGAAAATTGAGAAAAATTTTCTCAATGAGGTAATGATATTTAATGTTAATATATTTTTAATGTACTTTATTCGATATTTATTATTATATTTATACTTTAGATTAAATCACTTTCTCAATGTGATGATCGATTTAACAAACATGAAATAATTGGTTTTCATGGTATTACACAAGATCCTGTAACAAAAAAATATATATTGATAATGAAATACGCAAATGGAAATTTACATAATTACTTGCAAAATAATTTTATAAATATTACGTGGGAAGAAAAATCACATATTTTAGCGAAAATAATATGCGGGTATTTATATTTTTTTAATGTATTAACTTATTATCTGTATTTATATTTATTAATACTAAAATGTTTATATTTTAGACTTGAATATATTCATTTGAATCATATTATACATCGGGATTTTCATAGTGGAAATATACTATCATTAGATAAATCTCAGCCAGATGGGTACATAGATCGACTTTGGCTAATTGGAGACTTTGGGTTATCACAACCTGCAAATAGTACCTCACCAAATAATGAAATATACGGAGTAATACCTTATATTGCACCAGAAATATTTAAAGGTGCTGCGTTTTCTCAAAAATCTGATGTATATAGTCTTGGTATGATAATGTGGGAACTTACAACAGGTTGTAAACCTTTTGCTAATGTCGAACATAATGTTAATCTAATTTAATGGAAAACGACCTGAAATTACAAATGATACCCCTGAATGTTTTGCTAATTTAATGAAAAAATGTTGGGATTCTGATCCTTCAAAAAGACCAACTATATTTGAAATAGATATGGAATGGTTTGATATAAATAAAACTAATAAAACTGAACTTAATCAAGCTGAAAAAAAAAGATTAGAATTAATACAATTAAAGAAACTTGGACCTGAATTTAGTGAAAAACCTCATCCAAACGCAATTTTTACAAGTAGAGCATTAAGTTCATTGATTTCTAAATCTTCTATAGATTTTTTTTCAATTAATTCAGTTAGTACTATTAAGCAAGGTATATTATATATCAATGATTACTAACTCGCAGTCAGATAATGACCTATTTATTTCATTTTTATATTAACTTAAATATATTTTATTAATCATTAGAGTATATTACTAAAGAATATGAACTTGATATAAATAAAATTCAAAGGTAACTGTTACAATTAATAAAATTTTAATAATATAATAGAAAATTAATATTTTTTTCATTATGCATTCTTTAGATCATCCACTCAAAATATAAATTCCTCCGTTCAAGTCACTAATTCTCAGCATCAAAATGTTGATGGACCTAGTGTAAGTGGGCCATTAAATAATTTGATTTCAACTGTAACTACAAATTCTTCAAGAAAGCGAAATATTGAAGAATTAGAGATTGAAACACAAAAAAGTAAAAAAAATCGTAAGTGAACTTTATGATAAATCATATTTGTTGTGATGTTATCACGTTAATTTATAATAATATTATTTTTTTTAATTGAAATAGGAAAAAGATATTAAAGCTTATAATTAGATAAAAAACTTTGTTGAAGTATAATTGATATGATAAATTTGAATGTATTTTATTCTATGTATTATTTTTAAATTTTAAATAAAGTATACTAAAATCAAACATTTATATGTTAACACATAAAAGACGATTATCGTTAATCGTCATATTATTACATCGCGCAAAAACATACGTTCCAACTAAATTTATCAATTTAATTTTTCGTACAATAAGACGTACTTTACAATAAAATAGGGCCTAAATAGACTACATCAAATTATTGATTTGTATAATAATACTTTATCTTATACTATATACTAAATTCATTACCTTTTTCACGATTTTTACATCAACCCGTGATTGCATTACAATTACTATAAACGTATCATTTTAGATTATATTAAGTATTAGCAATAATAGTATTACGGTTATATAAAATTATTATTATATTTAAATAAACTCACACAAGCTGAGCAATATATAATATAGTCAATTTGGCTTTGTTTGTAACGTTAAAGCACAAATGTGAAATGACATAAAAAGTTGTACATTTACGAGGTTCATGTGAATATTAATAAATATTTAACAGTTGCTACATGTGGAAAATCTACAGGCTTACCAAAAATAAATTAACTGCTTTCTTTACTCCTATCTATTCTTTCCGAAATCCGTATTGTAAAACTATCAACAGAGTGTTGCACGTGATTTATTGTTTCACATTCTCGGTGTTGTTCACCTACAGTATACTTTATTCCCATTATCGTCTGCTTCCTTTTTATGACTTTCTTTTAAAGTTTCATGAGTTAAAGTCCAAGTATAGTCATATATCTACGGTGAAGGGAAGGTTGAGCGCTTGAGTTAAATCGCTGTGCGACAAAATATGTTGAAATTCAGATTATTAAATTGAACGCAGAAATTATTTAGATTATATTCAGTACTTTATATTAAACATGATTGACGATAATATAATTAGATATTTGACTATTTCACAAAAATTGTTCATATCTAAAATGGAAAGAATTTTTTCCTGTTAAAAATATTCTTTTAGTGTGCTTAAAAATTCATAACTAAAAAAATAAAATGAAATAAATTAAAATAAATTTCAAATATTTCGCTTTAAAGTATTGAGTTTTTGATATGTAAATATTTTTCTTTTTTTTGAAAAAGCAAGGCATTACATTTATTACGCATCATTTTTTTTTATTACGTTTGAAAGAAAGATTAATGTTTTTTATTCATTTGATTTATTAATCGATTTGATACATTCATTATAAATATATTGTACAAGATGACTTATAGTAACTTAATCATTGTGCTTTATTAACATTAAAATTTAAATTAATACTTTTAAGAAATGGAATGCGAAATTTTGTAATTTTTTTTTCCATAGAGAATATTTCTTATATAATTTTTATTAATTTGAAACGAGAACGATGAATTTATAAAAAGCATACCGATACGTAAATTTTAGATCGTTCTAACCGAATTCGATATTAAAAATTAAGAAAAATCCAGATTTACAATAAATTATATAAAGACTATTTTTTAAAAAAAAATTCCATAAGACGAACTTAATATTCGGAATGGAGCTCAAATTTTCGACAAGAAAAATAAGGTGTCGATCATAAAAAGCTTTAATCAATTTAAAATAATTCGTTCCATGAAGATTTTTGTGAGCTAATCCAATTCAATGTCCTAACGAAAAATTTATTATACTTCCATTTTTGGAGAATGTTTTTTTTTTGGCTTTTTTTTTTAAAAAAAACCGAAATTTTTTTTTTCAAATTTATTTTTTTTTTTTTGTTTTTTTTCTTTAAGCCGATTTTTTTTTTCGGCTTTTTTCTTTCCATATAGACATATAGTAATATTTTTTT